GTCCAGTTAACAAAGCAGCCACTTCCTCGCTGGTCTAGTTAAAAGAACACACACACCCCTTCAGACTGACGTCCCCTTCGATGTACAGACTGGCCCCGAACACTGGGGACATTCAGATACAAACTCAGGACATTGCTGGGGATAGAACCCAAAACTAGCACTGTCGGAAAGTTATCAGACAAAAACAATTTTTTTTTTTGGCTGAAAAATGCATATTTGGGTCGACTGAAACATTGTGTGAATTCAACTTGAATTTACAAAATTGTTTCAGCTGGAGAAAAAAAATTCAAAACTAGTTGGGGGGGAGAGCTAATTCAAAGGGCGGGAGAGACAGCTCAGTGGTTGAGCATTGGCCTACTAAACCCAGGCTTGTGAGCTCAATCCTTGAGGGGGTCACGTAGGGATCTGGGGCAAAATCAGTACTTGGTCCTGTTAGTAAAGGCTGGGGACTGGACTGGACTGGACTGAATGACCATTCAAGGTCTCTTCCAGTTCTAGGAGATAAATAAATTAATGGAGATTTCCTATTTTTTTTATTTAGTCAAAATGTTTCAATTCAAAATGACTTTTCAGTTCAAATTTTACTGCCAGTTCCTTTATTTATTTTTTAAAAAGGTAAAATAGTCTAGAAAACTAAACAAAATGTGTTGTCCAACCCTAAATGAATTGTTTTCATCGTTTTTTCATTTCACCATTGCTATTTCAGGTCCAATTGAAACTTACTTTTGATTGATTGATTGATTGATTGATTGATTTTTCAACCACCAAACCAAAAAAATCTCTTCTTCACATAGGTCTACCCAGGAGCTCCAGCATTGCCAAGTGTCTTGATTTTATGGAGAGTGTCACAATATCTGGTGTTTTCCTTAAAGCACCAATGTGGGGGAGAGAGGGTCGTGAGATGGCACAAGAATTTCAGCTTTTTTTTTTTTTTAAAGTTTCCATCTCTCGTATAGCTGTGGAGAACTGCAGGAAAACATAACCCTTAAAAGCGCAAAAGCCAGAGGCAAATAAAAAGAGCCCCCAGATTTAGACTTTTTTAAATCCCAGGATTTTTAAGCCCCCATGATTTTAGGGGCCTGATGCCTAAATTCTGAATGCTTGGCGTTGGCAGTAACGGGATCTGAAGCACAAGTAGCTACAATTTCAGTTAAAGGAGCAACTTCTTTAACCAGCAATGGCCTAGCAGACAGGTTGTGACATTCCTCATGGGGGTAAGGGAGAGTGGCAGACACAGTAAGGTTGAGAAGCAGAGTGCGAGGTCACGCTGCTTGGAAGATGTGATTTGATACAGAAACATGCTGGGGGGGAGGGAGTCACCCCAGCAGCGGGCTAGCAGGGGGTGGAGCACCTGCACTTAAAAAATCAGGACTACCCCCCCATGGCAGATTTCCCACACACAACACTGACCCAAGCAAGTAGAACAAAGCTTTGCACAGCTCTCGGGAGTGGTGACGGGGGCAGGTTACTGCTGGAGGTGCTGTGGTTTGTGGGCCTACCTCTGCAGGGCTCATACTGACCCTGAATTGGCTGGAGCTTATTCTGCCCCTGATTCGGTTACATTCTCTGGCCACAGCACCCCCAGGGAAATACAGATAATTCCCAGATGCCCAATCACAGGGTCTGTAACAATATTTTTTTTTACTTACCATGTCTGCCAGGTGGTTCATGCCCAGCTCATAGGAATGCAGCCCCAGTGAGTGCTCGAGGTTATGCAGCATAACGAGCTTGAGGTTTTTTTCCCAGGTCACGCGCCGTTCCCCTTCCTCTTTCTGGAACCAAAGCACAGCCCCCACGTTACTATGCAGTAGCCCAGAGGAAACCATCTGCGTTATAAATGGGTTATAGTTCTACAGTGCTTTTTTATCCCCGAGGAAACCAAGTGCTTTGCAAAAATGTTGCCTAGATCCTGCAACACTCACTCAAGCAAAACTTCCTAGGAAATCAAGGGGAGTCTTAACAAGTTCAGCAAAATTGAGTCCTTCCCCAGCCCCGAAATGCAGCCAGTTCTGGAGTGGTATGCAGCAGCTTTTTAACAGCACACAGCAACACGACGCAACAGAGTTGGACAAGAAGAGGAGAATCACACTGTATCCAATTAAATCATCAGGGGGAATTACAGGGAGGCAGAATGTAATTGCCACCAGGACAGTGATGACACCTTGTAATTTAGGAGGAAAGTACTGTAGGATTCTCCTATGACCCCAAGCAGTCAGGGCCTTCAACTAAGCCAAAGTAATTAAGGAGCTGCATATACAATTAGGATGCAAAACAATAATCAAACATTCACAATACAGCTTGCAGCTGTGCAAATCACTGACTTTTTGGTTTGGCAGCCAAACCAAACAACCTTTTAAAAATCAGTTGAAGATTTTTGGCTTTGGGTCAAACGTTTTGTTTCAATTTGGGGCTTTTTAAACCTTTTTATTTAGTTATTGTTAATAGAATGGTGGGAAATTCCAACACAAAATGGCGTTCCAAAAGGAAAAACAAAACGGTTCATTTATTAAACGCTGATATGAACCATTTTTTCCCACCTTTCCATTTTCTTTTTTTAATTTGACCAAAACACTGTGCCAAAATAGAGCCGAATTCCCCAATGGTTTCTGTCAACCCGAATCTGCATTTTGCAACCAAAAAAAAAAGGAGTTTTGTGAACCATGTCACCTGGCTGTAATATATTCCAAACAAAACACACTTTAAGAAATCAGCTAACCCCCGGGGATGGTTTAGGCCCAATGTTCATTAAAACTGAATACACTTCTGAAAGCAGAGAGAGATTTGCAATCTCCAGGAGAAGAGCAGGAGACAGCGTTCTCAGTGAGAGCTGGCACAGGACTGGCATGCCAAGATCCCAGATACCTGCTGACCTGAGGGGAGATGGTGACGGAAATCCCCCTCCCCCACTTTAAACCCACAGCTGCACAGAGCCCACCTTGCGGCTGTATTGTTTGCCATAGGTTTTCTTCCAGAGCTCCCAGTGGTTATCCAGCGTCGGGTCTGTGTGTAGATGTGCAGTTGCAGCAGCAGCAAGAGAGGCCAAGATGATACAAGCCAACAGCTTCATTCTGCTCAGCTAGGGGGAAAGAGAGCACGCTGGTGAGAGATAATATCTGCATGGTTAAGTCAAGTGTCTCAATTTCCTCCACTCAGTGATGGTGCAAGAGATCTGACACTGACTTACTGAGATTTCTCCACTCTCTCTGCCATGAGCAAAGTGTCAAGAAGCAAACCCTGATCCTGCAGCCGCTCTCACATCCGGCCGCTTGTCCCTCTTGGGGGCGATGGGGCAGGAAAAGGGGCTTCCTGGAACCTCATACGACAACAACAGACTTGAAATGAAAACAGAGCTGGGTCAATGGATAATATCACCCGGCTACTTCTACAGCTCCTGAACTGGATCTTGGACCTGGCCATGGGCATCAGAGCCTGGGATAAGGTGATCCGGGGCGGGAGGGAGGGATAGAGCTAGCGAAAGTCAGAGACGTTCCCAGCTGGGGTGGGAATTGATGTAGCTTCACTGAGGTCAATGAGTTTGGTCCCTAGGTGATGTAAACTGGTGTCGCTCCATTGTGGTCACTGGAGCAAAGCAGATTTACATCAGCTGAGGATCTGGCCCAGAGGGATTTAGGTGAAGAGGACTTGGATTTTCAAAGGAGCTCAAGCAATTTTCAAGGGAGTTTGGCACCCAAATCCCATTGTCTCTCACCTAACTCCCCTAGGTTCCTCTGAACACTCCAGCCTAGGAAGGAAGATGGAGGGGTTTATGGGGCTAGAAAGAAAGAGAGAGAGACAGAGGGAGAGGGTGTATGAGAATAGATAGATAGAGAGGGTGTATGGCGAGTGAGAGAGAGGGTGTTGAATAGATAGATAGGGGGCGTTATTGGAAGAGAGAGAGGTTTATATGGGGATAGAAAGACAAGACTGATACACGCGGGTATCCACAGATGCAAACTCTCTACAACTAACATACAAAACGCCATTTCTTGGTTTTACTTCCTCAAACACATTGTTCCAAACATGACAAAGGGGAGATTTAAAGTACCGGGTGGGAAAGAAAAAGCCAAACATACCTGACGGGAGTTCGCCCAGTGGAGATTTCTAGGCAGGAATCCTGAACTGATCAGCAGGCAGCAAGAATTCCCCTGAATTCTCCTCCCAAGGTTGGCTCCTGAGCGAACCCTAACACCCTTCCTGCTCTGACTGAATGCCAAGAATAACAACTTTGGTTTGCCCTGCCAGGCTCGTCACATGGGCCTGTGAATGGGGAAATGGCAGGACCTCTTGTTTCACTATTACTGTGACTGTATCAAACTAGGGATGTTAACTACGGCTGCAGGCTGATTTTCAGTGCCCAGCCCCGGAACACTAAAATCAGGTGTTTTTCCTTCCCTTCCCAGACCCTACAGCACATGATTTGGAGAGTTAAAAAATAAACTAGCAGGGTCAACATTTTCAAAAGCTCAGACAGGGGCAAACAGTCGCTGGGACCTCCCTTTTGGGGTTTAAGTGATCATCAGTATAATGGTAAAACCTAGAGATCCCAGCTGAGATCAGATCCTGTTGTGCAGGGTTCTGCATGAACACAGAGGGAAAGACAGACTCTGCCTCCCTGAGCTCACAAGCTAAATAGACAAGACGGACAAAGGGAAGGGGGAAACTGAGGCACAGACCAAGGAAGCAGTTTGCCCAAGGTCACACAGCAGGGCAGTGCTAGAGCAGGGACTAGAACCTACATCTCCTGAATCCCAGTCCAGTGCGTGCTTCATTGGTATTTGGGCACCCAGCATGCTCTCTGAGCCAGTGTCTGGTTTAACCTCAACTGCCTGAGCACCCGGCATGGAGTGGGATTGTCAGAGCAGGGGCGCAGGGCTGAGCTGAAATATCCTATAGGTGCACATTAGCATATGGATATTGGCACTTTCAATATGCTAATGCGGCCTAGAATCCCAACCACAGCCCACTGACTTTTGTCTTTGCCGGCGGGTGCTCCTCTCCGCCCCCTCACCTCCTTCAAACGGCAGGCGGGGCCTTGGGAGGGAAGAGGCCAAGTGCGAGTGGGATCTGGTGTGGAGCGTGGACA